AAAAAAATAAAAAATATATGTGATAAATAAATAAAAAAATTTATGTAAATGTAAATATATAAAAAATATACCATTTCACACACACACACACACACACACACACAAAAAAGCCTTTGATATAAACAGAGTTGCCTGACTCTTTCATTTTCTGTTCTACTGCTCCTTCTTCTTCATATCAAGTCTACTTCAAGTGCTTAATCTAGTTAGATAATTACTACAAAGTGAGATATTACTGGTACTTACGTATCGTTGGCAACGCTGCCAGCGCCAAAGCTGCCAAAGATGTGACTGCCAAAGGCTGCGGCGGCGGCCGCCGAATGGGGCAGCTGGGCCGCGTGGGGCGTGGTTGGCGTTGGTGTGGACGAGGCCGAGTTGTTGGACGAGGCGGCCATGCGTGAACCCGTGGTGAGCGACATGGGGCCGCCCACCTCGATGGGCGAGTCCGTGTTGCGTGAGTTGGAGGGGCTGTTGGGGCCCAGGCCGGCGGCGAGGGGCGTGTGCTCGCGCATGCCGGGCGACGGCGAGCCGGCGCTGATCGAGCCCAGCGACTGCGAGGCGGAGTGCGGCGTGGCGGTCAGCTGGGCCGAGGACAGCGGTCGCTCGTTGTCGCTGGAGTCGAGATGATGGCCACCCGTGGGACTGCGCGAGTGCTGCTGCTCCATGGGTCCGTTAGTGAGAGGACTATGGGAGCGCTGCCGCGGCGGCAGATCATCCATATCATCATCGATCTCGCCGGTGATATCGGGCGAAGACTCACGCGAGTCATGGAGCTAGAAAGAGTGGAAAAAGGGAAGGGGAGATATGAGTACACTGAAGTTGTAGCTATACAATTGTTCAATGCAATGCCCCAGAGAACTAATTTGACTCAAAGGTAATCAAGTTGCATTTACAGCTTTTGCCATCATTTAAATTGTAGTCCCTGATCTTCTGCTCCCTGCGCTTACCTTCTCCAATGAGCTGCTGCTCTCGCCATTTTCCCTCTTGCGCTGCTCATCCTTGAGTCGTTCCGCTTTGCGCCATTTGGCGCGTCGATTCTGGAACCAGACCTGCCAATGACAAAGAGATTGTGGGTAAAGTTAGAAAATTGCTTTCGTACGGCTGAGTGCTGTTATTTATGCTGTGGGCCAAAGTTGTGACTCGACTTGGCTGCCAGCCAATTGAAAATTGGAAAACTTTCGTCGTGTGTGTGTGTGTGTGTGTGTGTGTGTGTTATGTGTGTGTGTGTGTGTGTGTGTGTGTGTGTAGGGGGGACTAAAAAACAATAAACGAAATTTTCCACCTCAGAAACTTTAACAATTTGTTGTTTGCCAAGCAACAGCCGCACGGCGCTCGCAGCACTCAGCCCTATTGTCTCTGCCAAGGCATAAACAAACAAAATCTGATTTTCAATTTTGCACAGGCACACAAAACAAATTTGGCCTGTAATCAGCGCCTAAATTGGTAAGGGCGAAGCAGGAGGAGGTTGTCCCACACACACGCACACACACCAGCACATGCTGGCACAGCCTCTTCACTAATGAGCTTCAATCAAGACAATGCCCAGGCATCCTTCGCATCCTTGGCATCCTTTTGCCTGCTTGCTTATGCGCGCGTGTTTCCTTTTTCTTGCTATTGCTATTATTACTGTTGTTACTGTTGTTGTTGTTGTTGTTGTTGCTGCTGCTGTGTGTTTGCTTTTAGTTCCGGTTACGCTGATTCCATGCTTAAAGCGCCCCCTAATGGGATTTCTAACTTAAGGGGGCGCCATCTTGTATGACTATATGCCCCTCTCTCTCTCTCTGACTTTCTTTATGTGTGTGTAAGTAAATTTCCTAATCAAAATTCAAATTAGACATTGTGCAAAAGTTCGCATTGTTGTAATCATAACGCAACATAAAACAATTTCAACATTTTGCGCCTCTAGGCAACTTTCTCTCAGTCTCTCTCTCTTTCTCTCTCTTACTCTCTCGCTGTCTTTCTTTGTCTCACTTGCTCTAGTGCCATGGCCGCCATGTTGGCTTTCTACCAGACACAATACACACACCCACTTAACCAAACACTACCCCAACCCAGCCCAGCTCGGGCCAGGCTGTGGCTCCAGCTAACAATAAATTGCGCACAATCCAACCCCCAAGAACCCACCACCCAACCACCCAGCCAACCCCATACAGCCCCTTGCAAAGTTACTGCAGGAGCTTCTCTCGCACATATATACATATATACACATATTTTTTTTTGGTGGTGACGCCCACCAGTTACTTAATACAATATTTATGCCATAAGCACATTACCAATAAAATATGGCTGGGTAAACTTTTGCCAAGTGCAGCCGTAGCCCTCGGGGGCTCGCCTGAGAGAGACGCGTATAGCTGGGCACAAGCGAGACAGACAGTGTAGCTGGCAGTGCTCGAAGCTCTGGTTATTATCATGACAAAAATTGAATAATGAAAAACAATTGTGTGCGTCTGCCTTGACTTTAGCCCACTCTCTCTCTCTCTCTCTCTCTTATCGCTCTCTGTCTCTCTCTCTCTCTCTCTCACTCTATACGTAATTCTTTTATTTTTCTCCTTCAATAATAATTTCATGCACAATTTTGCTCGGTTTTATAGCAATACCTACCCAAAAAGTAAACCCCCACAGAAAACATTACCATATTTCTTATTTATTCAATTCGCTTGGTTTAGTTTCTTGATTGCTTCTCGTCTCGCCCACTTTGAGCTGAGCTGCGGCMAGTTTTTCACTTTTGTTGGCTTGTTTTTCGCCTTTTGGCATATTCATTTACAGCGTGGCTAATTGATTTCATTTGGCAGCTACATTACTTTCAGATGCTTTTATTAATTATATTTTTAATTCGAAGGTAGAAAATAATCAACATTTTTTAGGTATTTCTGATTCAATGCATACTTTTAGGTGCAGCGCCTAAAATATTTTAGGAAAATTTTTTTTCGGTAAAATGGGTCTTATGAACCTTTTCAAACTTATTTTGGTATAAAACTTGTTAAATAACATATATAATAAAATAATAATTTTATTTTAT